TGTCTTTAAATCCTCTTCTGTCTGAGAGCTTTTTGTGTTTTTAACTTCTGCTCTTGCTTGACTTGTGTCTTTGTATTCTTCATCTTTCCTTTCTCTATTTTTAACATTTGACTCTTCTGTTTTTTTGTTCTTTTTTGTTTCTGTTTGTCTTAAATTTCCTTCTTTTCTTCTCTTAGTGTTATGCTCCTTTTGCTGTTCTGTATCTTGTGTTTTGTTTTTGGATTCTTCTGGTATAAGTTTTAGCCATTCCCCTTCTTTTTTCTTAATTCTGTCCATTGCTGCATCTCTGCTATGCTCATAGTCAAAGTCTACTTCTATCTAGTTATTTCCATTTTTGAATACTTCTTTAACTGTTTTAATGTGGTGATTTTTTCCATAAATCTACTAGACGTACTTTATTCTTTCTTCTTTGGTTTCCCCTAGCAAAGCATATATTGGCATATTTGCTTTGTAGAACCTATTTTTATTACATATACGATTGTCTGAAGACTATTAATTATGTTCAATTGTTCTTGTAGGAAATACTGTTTCGTCATCTTCACTGTTTATTTCTTTTTCTTGTTTTATCATTTCTATGTCCATGATTTCTAGATTTGTCTTTTTGCTTTCTGTTGATATTTCTTTTCTAAGTTCTAAATTACTTGTAACTTGATTTGTTTGATATTGAGATATAGTGATACTAAGTCCTTTCATTTGCTTTTCTAGTATTTCTAATCCCTGCTTTAACTTTTCAGAATTGTTTCTTTTTTCTTGGCTCTGCTTACTTTTGACAAATTTTTCTGCATTGTTAGATTCAGCTATCATACTTACCTTATCTTTTCTGCTTTTCTCTTGATAAGATTCTTTTCCTTCTGTATTTGCATCATATTTGAATAAGCTTGGGTTGTAGCTTATTGCTCTTAGCTTTTCTGCCCAGTTGTCAATTATTCCTTCTTTAAGCCAGCTTATCTCTGCTATTTTTAAAGCTTCTACAACTTGGCTATAAACTAGCAAGTCTTGTGGCATAATGTGTTTTGGGTTGTAGATTGCTAAATCCTTTGCAATATACTCTATGTTGCTTGGGCTTTTTGTTGGTGTTTTAAGCACTTGGTCTAATATTTTGCAATCAACATATCTGCAGTTTCTGTCTCCTATACTTTTAATATACTCTATAATATCTTTGTTATATATTTCAGCCATTGGTTGTTTTAGTTTGGTTGTTGTTATGTCATATGCCTATTCTAGTGAATTACTTTACTACACATGTTTGTTTGTTTACTTTACTTATTTTTTGTTTCCTGTGTAACCTAATTAATCTTCATAACAGGGTCACAGGGATTTCCCAAAATTTTCCAAAATTTTGTTTTCATTAGAATTTTCCTAGTTTTTCCAAGCTGTGCTACTTCTAAGCTTTTCTACTTGTATCTTTGTTCTTCAGCTATATGTAACTTTTGCTGCTCTTTCTTTTTTGTTAAGGGCCTAAGTGATGTTTTCTAGCAGATTTTGCAGTTTTTCTGTGTTTTGCTTCTTAACAATTTTTGATTGAGGGATCTACAAAGGAGAGTCCAGATTAGTAATATTATAAAGTAATATATAAAAAAAATTAAAATAACTTTTAATAATTATTAAAATTGAAAGTTTACTTCTTTTTGTTATTCGAATGAATTGTTGATAGTCTGTTAAATAAATTTAGTTAAAATTAGTGCTGGCTTTACCCTTTTTTTATTTGCATTAATTAATGAATTTAAGTAGTTGTATGCTAATGGTGTTCTGTGATAGTTAAAGAAAAAAAAAAAACCTTAAGCATGTATATACAAATAAATCATTGCCATTAATTTAAACCTAACCAATTAGACATACCATTTGTAATACATTTAAATTATAGATTCAAATTTACTAATTACTAGAATTTTCGTTTTCAATTCTTGTGTTCAGTGGCTTTATGTTGAAATGCTTTGATACAACAATCAATTTTATTTTTGCTTATATATCTGTGAGCCATTTTAAGAGTCACATGTTTGACATTATGCCTTTGATGTTATATCAGTTCAATTCTATATTTCCCTAATTTAAGAAAATTTACTAAATTTCATTGAATAACTAATGAACAAAAGAAATGAGTGCTTCTAATAAATTATCAAATAATTCTAACAAACACCATTTGGCTGATGGATCATCTACTAGATGAATAATATGTCTATGCAATTCAAATTCAAGTAGTTTGCTATCTACAACATTGCTATTATCTAAACAATTCTCACTATCCAATGAACTAATTAAGTTTTTTATTGTATGTGACCAATTTTCTTCAATATCATCAACTACATCTTTATTATTCATCTCAGTAATTTCACTTAATTGAATTGATAAATTATTTGAAACTAATAAATTGTTTTCTTTATTATTACTTTTTAGTAAAAAAGGCTCTGTCAATTCATTTTGTGTTACATCTTCATTAAAAGGTTGGATAGAAGTTATGATATGGATTTGTTTATACTGCTGTTCATTCTTTTCGACTTCACTATGTTTTCTTTTACTTAATATATTACTGTGTAACTGGCTTATAGCTAGTACCTTGTTATACTAAAATAAATAAACAAAATTTAAGTAATAGAAAATTATTGAGATTGTGTTCACCAAGAAAATTTCTACCTGGGTATTGTTAAATTACCTAGTTATCTAGGTAATTTACCTGATTATTCAGATAATTTATTATAGCTATCTATAAAAATGCCTATTCAGATACAATCTCTAAAAAAATTATAAGAGCTAAATAGTATACATACAGGCAAGCAATTTCGATATTTGGTATATAAAAACCTTATAGATGATCATAAACGTTCAACTGAAGCAGCATTAACACAAATGCCAAATAATTGTAGAGCCAATCAAGATAATTCAGGTGCTAATCCTTTTGCAGATTCTCAAAAATCTATAATGTTTTCATTAAATTGATTATACGTTTTCTTATTAAACGGAAATTCCTCTCTTTGATATAGTAGAAACTCATGCAAAATATGTGTTAATATCTCGTCAAACTATACATAGTAATAATAGTTGATCCATTAACCAAAATGTGAATAAGAGAGACCTAAAACATTAGAAGAAAATTTAGAGAGTCTATATTTTGAGTATAAAACAAATAACAAAAAAAGTAAGGGCTGTTTTCATTGTGCCCACCAATTTTTTAATTAGGTTACTATATGATCAGAAAAGTGCTTGTCATTATAGTCTGCAAAAACCTTGATGATTCATCCAAAGCAATGTAAGACTTCAAAAAGTCTTACAATATCCTTTTGAAGTTTATTTAAAATACTACATAATGAAAATAATAAATTTTGAAGTTCATATAATTGAATTCAAAAATAAGGATCTTGTATGATTATTATAATGTCAGATGAAAGTGTTTTAGTTGCATTATTGTTGTTTGATAAAAATCATTGCTGTGATAGTCCACTTCAAGAAGTACTTTCTCTTCTAATTTTGGTTGGTAAAACTTTTGTAGCTAACATCTTAAAAAAGTTTACATTTATTATTAAGGAGTGTTTTATTAATTTTATTTAGCTAGTAAATGGTACATACTTTAAGCATAGACTCAGTTTTTAAAACAGAATAAAAACAGTAATAAAACCTGTTCCAATGTGTTTTACCAGGAGTTATAAGAGAAATAGTTTGTTTATAAAAAGACCTTTGTTTATTTTGTAATAATTCAGTAAAATATAATAATAAATAGAAATAGCTTACAATATGTATTGCTTTTTTTGAGATTGCTTTAAATATATCAGATGCCTTAAAAATATCACCAAAAACCAAGTTTATTTGATGTGTCATACAAGGCATGAAAACTTTATTTGGATATTCTACTCTTAGCTAGCACTTATAAAAAAAAAATTTATTATTATATTTTATCTTATATTTAACAATAAGTTAACTAATATTCGTTTAATGCTTATCTTGCAGCTCATACTCACTAGCAGAATCTGACACAAAACAATTAATTTTTATACCCTTTAGGTTTGCATCATCCATAATATTTTTAATAAGAATTTTCACATTTTCAGTCTTTGATCATTGATCGCTAATATCACATGCATTCCAGACCAAGGATTCACCTTTAGAAGTGATCAATACAATGCCAAAAAGATGCTTTTGTTTAATGTTCATCCAGCCATCAAAGACTGCTATTACTCCAATTTTATCTGCACATATGTCTTGTAAGATTTTCTCAGTTAGCTTTTCTGAGTATTTTGGAAGAATCTGATCACTGATTGCTCATCGATTAGATAGCTTTAAAGCTGGTGCAATATAATTAAAAACATCTTGTGTTTCTTGATTTTCCATGAATGTAAAAGAAAGGCCATTGGATACTATCATATGTAATATTAAGTTTTCAAGATGTCCTTTATCTTTACTAAACATTGAATGCAAAACAAAACTAGTAATAGATTTTTGATTTTGTTTTTTTGAAACAAAATTTTTGGTAAGTGATGAGTTGGTTTTTGAGATTGTAGAAGATGTGATAGTTTCATCTTCAGACACAGATTCAATATCGGTCACTACTGATTTATTAAGCAAGTAATTAATATCATATACAGTACAAACCAACTATATTTATATAATTAATATAGTTACCTTTTTTATTATTTTTTTTTTAGTATCCTTTTTAACATCTTCAGGCACAGGTCGTGCAAAAATCTTTGAAACCTCATTTGTACTATATTTGGCTTTAAAATTTGGACAATTTCTAAGGTGACTCTGGCATAATTTTGACTTGTTTGAGACAAAGCACTCAGGGTTTGTAAGTGCAATAGGTAATGTATATTTTCAGATATATGATAAACAAACTGCCTTTTTATTGGCCTTTGGATTATCTGGCTTTGCTAGTTGAAAAAATTCTTGAAAGTTATATTCTTTTCTGCCCATTATTGTGAACGAAATGTACTAGATTGAAAGAGAAAATATGTGTTTAGAACAAGAATTTATAAGATAATGTTCAATTTCTATATATGCTAAACCAACATACCTAGTGCAATAATTCATTCTAATTTAGTAATACTTTTCACTTTTTTATTTTCATTTGTAAAATTATCATCATTAATGTTCAATATCATGCAATGCTTACAAAATGTTTCAATTCCCTTTAATTTTTTTTTATTTAATTTTTTTTTATTTAATTTTTTTTTATTTAATTTTTTTTTATTTAATTTTTTTTTATTTAATTTTTTTTTATTTAATTTTTTTTTATTTAATTTTTTT